GGGCGACGCCAGCATGCCGGGACGCGCCTGGTCCATGGGGTCCGAGGAGCGGGGCCAGGGGCTCCGGTGGCCAAAGTCGCGCGGGTAGCTGTGGGTCGACTTTGGGTCCTGGATGCGGTGGTGGTCGCGGCGGCGCGGGTCGAGGTCGTGGTCGGGCGAAGGGGTGCGGGTAACCATGCCGCCGGTCTGGGCGGCGAGGCCAGGGTCGCGGATGCTGCGCAGCACCGTGGCGAGCGTCTGCTCCATCTTTTGAGGCTCTGCTGCATGGCCTCGGTCTTTTGGTTCTTGCCGCTCTTTTTGCCGCGGTTGCTCTCCTCGAAGATGCAGTCGTGGTTGCCGTGGCGGCAGCGGTTGCAGGGCGGGCCCTTTTCGGCGCCGACGCAGCGCATCTTGAGGCGGCGGCAGTTGGTGCACGCCTTTGCGCCGCGGGTCGGCTTGGGCTTCTTGGCGGGGGCCTGCGACGACGAGGAGCCCCCGGCTGCGGCTCCCGCTGCTGCGGCTTCGCTGCCGCCGGCGGCGTGTGCGTCGGCGCCCTTTGTTGGGCTGCTGCTCTTAGAGTGCGACGAGGCGCGCTTGCGCTTGGAGCCGGCCGTCTTGCCGCCGTGTCCGTCGCTGTCGGACGCGCCGCCTGCGTCGTCGTCGCCGTCGTCGTCATCGTCGTCGTCGTCGTCGTCTTCATCGTCGGACGATGCATCGTCGTCGTCGTCGTTGTTGTTGCGGCTCTCGCTGGTGGATCTGGAGGCCTGGCCGTGGGCGTGGTTGGAGTGGACCGCGCCGGTCGAGAGGGCCGAGGGGTAGGCGGGCGACCAGTTGGTGGCCGACGATGCGCCCTGCCGGATCGACGAGAGCGAGGGCGAGGCGTAGGCGAGCGAGGAGAGGGCGTGGCCGTAGGGGCTGAGCGGGTGGGGTACGGGTGGGGTGTGGGATCCGGATGCCGGGTGGTTGGACATGTAGGTGTGGTGTAGGCCCGAGGACGAGGCGGGTGGAGCGCCTGCGCTGGTGCCGTCGGCGGAACCCTGGCGGGAATGCGAGAAGCGCGGCGGCGTGTTCATGGTGTCGGCGTTGATGTCGGACTGTGAGAAGGGCGGCGAGGCGGTCGTCGTTGGTGGCGCACAGAGGAAAGGAGGAACTGGGCGTGCGGTCGCGCGAGGGAGGGCGGTGTTGGTCCGAGAGTAGGCCGGTGGACGGTGATGGAGGGAGATTGAGGCGAGGTCGACGAGGTGCGCCTTAGCAATGGCGAGCCGGTCGACGGGTTGCGAGCGATGGCTGTGCCTTGCGGCTGGTCACCAGTAGATGGCGGCGGAGGTGGTGGGGAGGAGGAGGAGGATGTGGTGGTCGCAGAAGGAAGGACGCTGAACCTCGCCCCCAACCGGCTGCCGGTCGGCGCCGAGCGGTGCGGGCCCGCCTGCCTGCCTGCTTGGGCTTTTTTGCCTTTGGCCAGCCAACAGCGACAACGGCGCGGCGGGCCGGCCCAATTTGAGCCAAACGAGCCGGAGAGGTCAGGGCCAGCAGCCAGCCGCCAGCCAGGGCCCAGAACCCAGGCCTGGCTCGGCCAGTCTGGCAGGGCAGGGCAGGGCAGGGCAGGGCAGGCCAGCCCGACACGCGGGTCGCCCGACGCCAGATGGAGCCGAGACGCCCCCGCGTCGCCTCTCTGCTGGCCGGCCCTCTGCCAGGCCAGCCCAGCCCAGCCCAAATTGGGCCGCGGGCGGGCCGCGCTGCGTGCGGTGGGGCGCTTGACAACGCTCGAGCTTGCTCCTGTGTCGGCCGGTTGAGAGCCCGGCTCCTCCTTCTCCACTTGGCTAGGCCTGACAAATGGGCCGCTCCCTGTCACTGCCCTCACCCTGGCCTGCCCTCACCCTGGCCTGCCCTCACCCTGCCCCGCGTCTGCAGCTGGGCGTCACCTGCCGGGAGCGCCGTAGGCCATCTCGTCGGCCCATTCCGCTTCGTTGCCAGCGAGCCATCACCATTCCCCGACGGCCTCTCCCCGACGCTTTCAGCTGCCTCTCACGTCCCAGCCTCTGGATCGCCACCACAGCCGCAGCACAGCCCATCGCCACCCCCGCCCCCCGGGTGCCAAGCATCTGCCGCCATGTCGAGGCACCGCGCAGTACGCAACCTCAACCTCGAAGAGGAGCTTGCCGAAGACGACTACTACTCGGACGAGGATCCTTACGGTGAGCCAGCGTAGCTGCGCCGCCCAGGTTCTTGTCAGCCCTGCTGATTGTCGTCGCCGTCGCCGTCGCCGCCACCCCGCCCGCACAGAAAACATCTCGAGCGATGACCAGTACGCCCTGGCAGAGGCCCTCTCGCAGGCACTCTCGGTCCTCGGCCCATCCGAAAACAGCGGCATCTCGGAGCGCGAGATCAAAGACGCTCTGTGGGACTCGTACTTTGACGTCGACTCGGCCGTCAACCACCTCGTAGAGGAAAAGAGCAAAAGAGAGGCAAAACTCGAAAAGGACCGCCAAAAAGCAGGTGAGTAGTCTCCGTGTCCGCCATCCTCAACAGGCACAGTCACACAGACAGAGGCAGAGAGAGAGAGAGAGAGAGGGCGAGCGAGGGCTATGCTGGTCACGCCCCGTATGCTGCAGCTCTGTGGCGCGCTATCGCCAACCAAAAGGCGACTCGGTCGTCACCGTCGCCGCCGCCCTCGCCGGCTTCCCTTTGGGCACGCCCGACCGCAGCATCGGCCGCTCGCCGACATGCAAACGGCGAGCTGACCCAACGTTTCGCTCGTGCCATGCCATGCCGCACCGCCCCACCGCTTCCGCCATTCGCCGCCCTCGCTCGTCGCCATCTCGACCGCTGCGCCGCCGTCAAACTTGCTGCCTTCGACCGTGACTGCCGCGAGCAGCGGATCCCGCAGGCACATCAACGAGTGCCGACACGCCCCTCTCGGAGCTCCAGCGGCTGTCGCTGCGCAGCCGGCAAGCGTCTCCCAGCGACTCTCCGAGCAGAGGCCGTGGCGGTGGCCGAGGAGCGCTCGGATCCAAGGCCATGGGCCTGGCCGGGCTCGGCCGCGGCGGTAGATCGAGCATGGCGAAGCGCAACCTTGCCGACCTCGCTCCTCCCCAGCTGCGGTCCTCCCCAGCCTTCCGTGGAGAGGCAATCGACGGCGCCACGCCGAGCTCCGAGACGGCTGGATCCGCGCCCGTCAAGCCGACGTCGAAGCTATCCGCCTTGGCGATGAAGTCCAACGCAGCCAGAAACGCCAACAACAAGAGGCCCATGGAGGAGGCTGCTCGCGGGCCAGTTGCTCCCGGCGCGAATGTCAGCGCCGCCGGGTCCAGCGCAGAAGCGCCGTCGGCGTCGCGGCCCAGCAAGCTGGCTGCCCTTGCCGCTGCGAGAGCGAATCCCGGTTCACCTCGCCGCTCCCCCGTCCCTGAGAGGTCCGACCCGACGGCATCAGCCACTTTGCCGCCTGCACCCGTCCCTGCCGCCGCCACAGCAGACACGGGCAAGCCGCTCTCGAAGCTGCAGCAGAAGATGGCCGCAGCTCGTCAAGCGAAAGCAGCCAATAGCGAAAAGGGCAGCGCACCAAAGGGTGACGCCATGGACGTCGACACCTTCCCTGCTGCATCCGACGGGCCTCTGCCGACTTGCTATGGCTCGGACATCGCCGTCGATGCCCTCTTTCCCCACGCGGCCCAGCGCAGCACCGCGACGTCGTCACTGGCTACTGCGCCATCGCAGCCCGGTCTCCTCGCCGAGGCCAGTTGTCTCGGATCCGGGCCATCTGGCCAGTTCCAAGTGGCCGGGCCGTTTCCACCGACGCGAGCAGTCCCTGGCGGCTCGCCGTTTGACATATTTGTCGGTGCCTCGGCTCCTGCGGCTTTGGCCCAGCCTCCGCTAGCCGGCGAGGGCCAGATCGAAGGGCTGCGCAAGGCCTTTGCCGGGCCTAGCCCCGACGATGTCGTGCTCAAGGCGCGCGAGGGTACGAGCCTAGGCGCACAGCCGCCGGCGATCCGGCAGAAATAAGGGGCCACGGCTCAGGAGCCAAGCTGAAGCCTCAAAGACCTGTCATGCCACGCCACCCGTCTCCGAGCAATGCAGGCCAAATCGCGCCCTCGCCCTGTCCCTCTGTCTCTGTCGCTCGCTGCCTCTCTCTGCCCGTCTTGCCGCTCGCTGTTGATGGCCGTTTAAGGCCACGACCGCGGCTGGGGATCGCGTGTTGATGACCAGAGCTACCTTCAATCTCTCCCTTGCCCCTACCGCTACCCTCCAGCAGCCAAAAAGGCCGCGGCCGCGGCGTCGGCCACCAACTCGGGAGCATCGACGCCCCTTCGGAAAAAGGCGGCCGTCGGCCAGGCTGCCAAGGCGGCTTCGTCGGGCGCCTCGAGCGCCAGGAACGGCAGCGCGGCCAACGTGTCGCAGCTCCGCACCGACATCGAGGCCATGGGGCTCGGGTCGCAGCTTCCCCCTGCGGCAAAAGACGGCAGCATGGGCTCGTCGGTGCAGGGCAGCAGCGCGGGGGGCGCCGGCAGCCTCGCCACGACGCCCAAGGTGGGCATCGCGCACGAACGCATCGTCGAGGAGTACCGCAAGCGCGAAAAGGAGGGCAAGTCGGAGCTGAGCCTGGTCGTTGTCGGTGAGTTGGCCGCTGCGCGCGCTCCTCCCTGCTTCTGCTGCTGCTGCTTCTGTTGCTGAGACCGTGCGCTGATGCTGCATCGCCTTCTGGACGACACGCGCGACCTCTCTCCCAGGCCACGTCGATGCCGGCAAGTCGACGCTCATGGGGCGCATGCTGCTCGAGCTGGGCACGCTCTCGGACCGCGAGTACAGCGCCAACGAGCGCGCGAGCAAAAAGATTGGCAAGGGCAGCTTCGCGTACGCGTGGGCGCTCGACTCGTCGGAAGAGGAGCGCGAGCGCGGCGTGACGATCGACGTGGCCCAGGACCACTTCAGCACGCCGCACCGCCAATTCACGCTACTCGACGCGCCCGGCCACCGCGACTTCATCCCCAACATGATTAGCGGCGCGGCGCAGGCCGACTCGGCGCTGCTCGTCATCGACTCGATCCACGGCGCGTTCGAGGCCGGCTTCGGCCCCAACGGCCAAACGCGCGAGCACGCGCTGCTGGTGCGCAGCCTGGGCGTGCAGCAGGTCGTCGTCGTCGTCAACAAGCTCGACGCCGTCGGCTACAGCCAGGAGCGGTACGACGAGATCGTGTCCAAGCTGCAGCCCTTCCTGCGCGGGTGCGGCTTCGACGAGGCCAAGACGCGCTTCGTCCCCTGCGGCGGCTCGGTGGGCGAGAACCTGGCGGTGCGCGACGAGGGCGGCGAGCTGGGCGCGTGGTACGACGGCCCGACGCTCGTCGAGGTGCTCGACACGCTCGAGCCGCCGCGGCGCAACCTCGACGGCCCGCTGCGGCTGCCCGTGACCAACGTTTTCAAGGGCCAGACGGCGATCGCGTCCGGCGTCGGCGTGTCGGGCCGCGTCGTGTCGGGCATCGTGCAGATTGGCGATCGGCTACGCGCCGTGCCGGGCGACGAGTCGGGCATCGTGCGCGCCATCGAGGTCGACTCGGACAGCGTTCCCTGGGCCGTGGCGGGCAACAATGTGACGGTGTACCTGTCCAACATCGACGTCATTCAGATTGCCGTCGGGTCGGTGCTGTGTCCCTCGAACGCGGCCGACGTGGTGGAGCTGTGCGATACCTTCACGGCGCAGCTCCTCGTCTTCACGCCGACCTACCCGCTGGTGCAGGGGACGGCGGTCGAGGTGTTCCACCATTCCGCCGAGGTGCCGGGAAAGCTGGTCGAGCTCCTCGAGACGAGGGACAAGTCGACGGGCCACGTCATCAAGCGCCACCCGCGCGTCCTCTCCCGGGGCACCACGGCGCTGTGCCGCATCGAGGTGCGCAGCGGTGGCGGGGCGGGCAAGAGGAGCGGCGTGCCCATCGAGAGCGTAGACAAGTGCAAGGACATGGCGCGCATCCTCGTCCGCCGCGACGGCGAGACAGTCGCCGCTGGCATCGTCGTCGAGACCCACCCTGCAGCGCCGGCCGGGGCCTAACAGCAAGAGCAAGAGCAAGGGCGCAAAGGATCCAGACGCCGACGCCGACGCCGACGCCGACGCAAAGGCCCTGCCCTCTCCCAGTCATCGAACGCCCCACTCTGCGCTCTCACAAACCACCCTCTGCCCCCTCCCCCCTTTATTCCATCCACAATGCATCTCGACGTCAGTCCACGATCTCTCACCCATCCTCATCCTCATCCCCTTTTGCATTTGCCATCTGGGTTGAATCGGTCGGGCCGGGCCTGGACAACGAGGGGGAAGGGCTACACGACGACATCGCGGAAGCGGCGCACGAAGCCGTTGAGGGTACTGCCGAAAAAGAGGGCAATGACGGTCGAGGTGAAGATAATGTTGGTGTAGACAAAGGAAAAGTCCGGAGTGGCCAGCTCGACGAGGTTCGACGTCGTGTACATCCGTCGTTGTCGCCCTTGTCCTCGTCCCTGGCGGCCTGGCAACAATGCCGTCGGTGCGGGGTCGAGGAAGAAGACGGCGGGGGCGAGGTCAAAGCCGCGGTGGGCGTCGGGCGGATGTTCGGCGTACCTGAGAAACGCACGGCGGCACTCGACTTGGATGCGTACCGTGGTGCGCGGGGGGACGACGATGCGCATCTCGAGCACAAAGGGGCGTTGCCGATCCACCGAAGGCTGGTAGACGATCTCTCGCACCGGGTCCGAGGTGACTTCATCCACGAAGCGGACGTAGGCGTCGCGTTGGTCGTCGTACGCGTCGGCGTCGACGTGCGTGCGCAGCGTGTGCAGCTGCGGCTGCAGAAACCACGGCAGCGTCTCGAGGTACACGAGCGAGGCGGCGCGCCGCACGTCATTGTTGCGCACCGTCGTCGTCAGCACCGACCGCTGCTGCCCCGACCCGGAGAGGATGCGCGATACCGCCACCCGCGGCGGCGCGATGGCGTCCGGATACCGGAACCGTTGCTCCTTGGGCCACGTCATGGCGATATTGAGGCCCGCTTTGCCACTCTCGCCGCCGCTGCCGCTGGCGTTGCTGGCGTTGCTGGCGCTGCTGGCGCTGCCGGCGCTGCTGGCGCTGCCGCTGCCGCTGTAGGCCGAAAGCGAGGTGACGTCGTACACGTACTCGCCCCGCTCCGACCAGTACTTTTGCCACGCGGCATCGGATGCGCCGCGGCGGGGTATCGAGGCCGAGGCGGCAGCGTCGTCGTCGTCGTCGTCGTCGCCGTCGTGGCGCTCGTCGCCATCCTCTCGCGCGTCGTCGTCTTCGTCTGGGTCGACGAAGTCGGCATGGTCGCGCACCGAGGGCCGGGCAGGTCTGGCGGGGAGCGGGTCGACGAGGTGCTCCGAGACGTATCCCTGGTCGTCTGGGGTTGTGACGCGGATGGTGCTCTGGGCGGCGAGCGGGCAGCTGCGCTGCAGGGTGCGCGCAAACACCGACTCGAGGCTCCAGTCGCGGTTGCTGACGTCGCGCGTCACGGCGGGGCTAAAGACGGCCTGGACCGAGAGCTTGACGTGCCACCCGGAGGCGGGCGGCGTGCGGCGGACGACGTGGACGGCCATGCCCTGGAAGTTTGCGCCAAAGAGCGAGAGCGGGTTGAGGAGCGACGCTAGCCCGGCGTGGCCCTTGCACGGCAGCAGCTTGAGCAGCGGCGTGAGGTTTTCCGTGCAGATCGACTCGGACGGCAGAAAGGCGTGCAGCGTCGTGGTGGCGGGCGACGAGGCTGCCGACGACGATTCTCTGGCGCCGCTGTGGAAGGCGAGGTTGGGCATGACGGTGGAGCGCGAGTCGAGGGCGTTGAGCGAGGTGCAAAAGAGGCCGGCGAGGGACGAGGTGAGGTCGGTCCAGTGGCGCGCGACGTCGTCGGGAGGGGAAAAGGGGTCCGTTGCGCTCTCTGTGCCGTTGTGCGGGGTGTCGTCGTGGCGCAGCCTTGCCCAGAGCTGCGCGCCCGGTGCCACATCGTCGTCTCCGACCTGGATCCAGGAGGAAGCAGCGGCGGCATCGTGGTCGTGGCCGTGGCCGTGGCCGTTGCCGTTGCCGTGTGGCCGGTGGTGCTCGTGTCGAACGGAGCGCACGGGGCTGCCCCACTTGTTGTAGTCCCACCTTCCCGTGTTGAGGGAGAGGTGTGCCTCGTCAACGTTGTGGGTCTGGACGAGCTGGAGGAGGGAGCGCGGGAGGAGGTGGAAGTGGGCGCGCGAGTCCGAGTCCGAGGCGAGGTGGAAGTCGAACGAGGTCTGCAGGCGCCCATCTGGGAGTGGACGGAGGAGGAGGTGCTCGGTGAAGGATTCGACAGAGTGCGACGAGGCGATGCTGCTCGGTATCGTTGCCAGGAGCAGCAGCAGCAGCGGCAGTAGCACGAGGGGGAGGGGGAGAGGGAGGGCGAGGAGCGGTGCGAGGGCCATGGGTGGAGACGCCTTTGCTATCCGTGGTTGCATCCTGCGTTTCTGGTGCGGCATGTGCGCCGGCGCCCGCAGGTCACGGCGAAAAAGGGCGGGCGTTGAGGAGGTGTCGGTGGTGGACGGTGGCCACGACGACGGCGAGGGCCAAAGCTTCCGGGCGCCTGGCCCTCTCCTTGGCAGACACCAACACATGACATCCCCGCGACTCCACTTGCAAGGGCCGAGGGCAGGCACACAGGGGCGGCAGGCGCGGCTCCGAGTCGTGTGTTGGTGGACCCCGCCAGGCAAGGCCAGGCCAGGTCGAGATTTCTTCTGGAGCAGGCCAGGCCAGGCCAGGCCAGCAGGCCCGCCTCGCCTCGCCAGCAAAGAGGTGCGGGCGCAGTCCAAATTTCCCCCTGGACCCTTCCAGGCCGGGCTGGGCGGGGCTGGCACGTTGAACCTTTCTTCCTCTCTCCCTCTGCCAACCACCACCTCGACCTCGACCACCACCTCGACCTCGACCACCATCTCGACCACTCACTCACTCACTCACTCACTCACTCACACGCACCGAGTTCCAAGCCGAAGCGCAACGACACTCGCACAAAATGGGAAACGGAGCAAAGTACGTTGCTGCCCTCGTTGCCCCCGTCCCACCGCTCCATGTACTGATCCCTCCCGCTTCTGCTCCTTTGACCGCCGGCAGGGCACAGCAGAAGCGCGAGCGAAACGCCAAGGCGGCGGGCGGCGTGGCAAAGTCGCAGACCAAGGTCAACGAGGCCGCCAAAAACGTCATGTGCATGACGTGCAGGCAGACGTTCCTCCTCACTGTCCGCGAACCTGCGTGCGTGCCCCCCCAGCTCCCCAGCTCCCCAGACCAAGCGTGCTGCTTCGGGACGTCCCAAGCCGACCTGGAGGCAAGAGGGATGCACGCTGATCATGATCCTCATCCTCTTTGCGCCGCTCTCTGCTCCACCTCGATCCTCAACCTTGCGCCGGGTACAGGCTCAAACAACATGCAGAGGACAAGCACAACAAGGTACGTTCCCTTCCCCCTCCTCCCCCTCCCCTCATCCCTCATCCCTCCCATCTCGTCCCCAAATTGACCCTCTCCCCTCTCTCCTCGCCGTGGGACAGACACTGGCCGAATGCTTCCCCAACCACGGCAAGTAGGCGCAGCGGGGCCCCCCTCCTAGCCCCTCCTACCGTCGATCCGATCCACGCGCCTCAACCACATAGAAGACCCACAGCGCACGCAGCGCACGCACACATCGTCTTTCCAACCCCACCCCACTGTCCTCCCCCTCCCCGCTTTTCCCGCCCTGTAACATGTAACGGTCCCACCGCCTCCCCCCCTGTTTGCTTTCCGCCGAAACCCGTCCAGTCAGCCCTCGCGCCCTCGCGCCCTCGCGCCCCTGCACTCGACATCGACATCGACACCCTCCCGCCACCGCTGCTCTCCCCGTGCCTCGTCTTGGGACAGTCGAGTCGCACATACGACCCATCACCGACGACGTGGATCACGACTTGCGCCAAACGAAGGCGGATGCTGGCCAGAGGGTAGGAGCGAGTAGGGGGGTTCATAATGGACAGTGTTCGTTGGGGGGCGACACCTCACCAGCCGCGACAACTTGCGCTCCAGCGCGCGTGGAAACCGAGCGGAGGGGCGGGAGGGAAAGTACGACAGCCAGGCGGTCTGGGCGGGCCGGAGAGACGGAAAGCGACACCAAAGTACCACGTGGCGAGGAAAGCGAGGAGAGACTTCTAAGGGGGAAAACGAGGGAACGCATAAGCCAATCTCGAGGGCTGGCTTGGCTGGCCATTGGGGATGCCCGTTGCATGAGGGCGCTCGGCCCTGGCTCTTGCGCCGCGGCGGCGGCGGCGGCGGTGTCGATGGCGGGTGCGACGATGCGACCCGTGCCAGGCCAGCCCGGGCCAGGACAAAGCAGTGTGGGGCCGGTTGGAGGAGGGACGACTCACGCCATGGCCAGCGACACCTCAGAGTCGATCGACGTGCTGCATTTGGCGCCTGCCGCCACCGCAGTGCCGTTGGCCTCGGGCAGGTGCGACGCCCCGCTGACGGCCGGGTTGAGTGGCGACGGATTAATCACGGCGCTCGTTGCGCCGCCAAAAGTCGACTTGACCGGCGAGCCGGGCAGCGAGTGGGTGCCGATCAGAGCAGGCACCTCGTCCGAAGATGACTGCAGCTTGAGCCCCTGGACCGCATCGACCGCCGCCGCCATCGTCGGGTCCGACAGGCCGACCGCCAGCGGCTCCCGCTGCTCCGACGACATGCGCGGGCTCGTGGCCGCCGTCGACGTCGAATGCCGCCCCTCGACCACGCCGCCGCTCGTCATGCCCACGCCCACCCGCAGCGGGTCGTCGTTGAGGTTGCCCGAAAACGTCGAGTTCGAATCCTCGGCGCTCGAGTCGGTGCCAAGACCGCCCCGGCCCCGGCCGCCGCTGCCAAAGTGGCCTCCTCCCATGGTCGCAGCGTCACCCGTCGCTGCGGCTGATGATGCGCTGGCGGCGCGCTCGACGCTGCTCCGCGAGTCCAACTCGAGCGAATCGACCCGCCGCGCGGCGGCCGCACTCCGCCCGCCCGCTCCCACCACGTCGCGGTAGCCCGGGTTCGAGTACGACGCGCGGTTCCCGGACGGCACCGCCGAGTCGTCAAACTGGACGCTGTGCGATCGGCCGTCGCTTGCAAGCACCGCCGCATGCACCGCCTTGAC